GGTTTAGGGGTTAGGGGTCTAGGCTGTAAGGTTTAGGGTTTAGGGATACCTGGACCTCCAAGGTAGATGAAATGATGGTCCAGGACCCCTCAGGACAGTCCCAAAGGCCTTGTTCTGCGTAGTTTGGGGGCCAGGTCAGAAGAACTTCGGAAGAAGGACCGTGATAGTTAACAACAATTGGCGTTTAGCGTTTTAGGGTTCAGGGCTACGGAAAGTGAAAGACGAGTTGGGGTTCAGGGCTTTGGGTTTATGTAGGGTCAAGTTGCCAATGCGTAGAGTGAAGTAAAAAATCGAAACAGCACAGAACTTGAGAGTTTATTTCGACATATAGTGTTCAACAGTTATTGATAGGGTTTTTTGGTTACCCCAGTGCCCAGAAGGAGGATGCCATGACGATCGTGTGACTCTTACGGCTTAAACCCCAAAACTTAAACCCTGATAATCGGAGTTGGGGTAACCAATATCCCCTTCTTACATGACATCTTTCTGCCTCCCCTCTCGCCAAACTCATTCTCCAAAGAATGAAAAAATCGAAGAGTGAGGACCGACATTGCGCAGTTGAGATGGGTTTAGGGTTAGCCCCCCGCTGAGAAGTAAGATCATACCTTCTGTCGGGTCTTTTTTCTATAGGAGTATTAACACTTTATTTGGTGCAGCTGTGAACCCCACACCCCAAGACCCTAAAACCCTAAAACACTAAAACTCTAAACCCTAAAACCCTAAGACTCTAAAACCCCAAAACCCCTAAATCCTGCCACCTGCCATCCTAAGCCCAAGACAACCGCTCCTCAGGTGTCAGGCTGAGCGTCAGCCGGAGTCATCCTGAGCTGAATGGGGCCTGGTGCTTACCTTGCTGCTTACCAAATGAGCTATAGTCTAAACTCCTTAAAGGGGGGTTATATAGGGGATTATATAATTATATAGGGGACTACTACAGGGCTTATTAAGGGGGATACTAGGAGTTTAGACAATGGCTCAAATAACATTTATGGGTCTATAGGGTTTAGGGTTTAAGGTTTGGGGTTTAGGGTTTAGGGTTTGACTTACCTTTGAAAGAAGGAATGGAAAAGAAAACGATAACTACCATGATGGGTTGTATAGGGACTACAATAAGGATCCATCCCATCATTCCTAGCTAACCAAAGGTGGGGCTGGGGCTGATACGGGTACTTTAGGGAGTTTAGGGTTTCGAGGTTCAGGGTTTAGGGGTTTAGGGTTCAGTGTTGTAGGATGTAGGGTGTAGGGGTTTAGATGTTTAGGGTTTTAGGACATTAGGATTTTACGTTGCAGGGTTCATACGAGAGAGTGGGGGAGGTCTCATGGGTAAGGATATAGGGAACTAGATGAGGTATATAGAGTGTTAGGTATGGCTTTCGGTGATGTTATATAGAGTGGCTTCGGAATATTGGTTTGTGTAATTGCATATAGAAAAATTACATTGGGCATCTAATTTGGGAGACACTTGGAGTCCACTGCCCCGCTCTAAACCCCAAACTCTAAACTCTAAACCCAAAACTCTAAATCCTACACCCTAAATCCATAAGCTACTCGGGATGTTGTGTGCGGCGTAAGCGGCATAGGGTTTAGGGTTTGGCGTTCTTTAGATTGCGATGTTCTAGCGTAGGGCCTAGGAAAAACGTTCCTGGCAGATGTGGACATTTTCTCGAAACCATTCCAAAACCCTAAAGCCTCTCAGAATCCCTACTGATCTCCAGGGTCACTGGGGCTCTTTTTTGGGGGGGAAATTCCTATACTAGAGAGTGGTGGGCAGGGGGTGGGAGGGGTACACTCGCAAATCCATTTTTCAGGTTTACCTAGGCGATATGTGGAGATTCTATAGGGTTAAGGTTTTTGGGATTACTGGGGTCTACACCCTGCATCACCTCCTGTCTGAAGCTCAAAAGCTCGTGTGGGACTACGAAGCCCGCAAATGCAGCCACCTGCAGACACAGGAGCTTTGCTCAGCCCAGGGCATCAAGTTCGTGCCCTTTTTGTTGAAAGCCGGGGCGGCTGGGGGCTCACAGCCGTCGGAACCTGGCTGGCCCTGGCCCAAGCTACGGCTGCTCAGTCCGGGGAGGCCGTGTCTGTGGAGGCCAGTCGGCTCTATGAGATGCTGGCTGTGACTCTGCAGTGGGAGAACGCCCGAGCTGTCCTGCGGCGCCTCCCTGAACCTCCGCCAGTTCCTGGCCCAGGGGCCGCCTTGCTGCACCCTAGTCGGCCACACTTGCTTCGTTGGCCTCTGCTTGGGTACGTCAAGCTCTGCGCCCGTCTGCCTGACCCGTACTACCGCTCAGCAAGGATGCAGTTACGCGGCGCTGTACATAACTGGGCGTGCCGTTGGCGCCTGGCTGTTCCCCCAAAGGCCCGTCGCCACCTTGTCCAACCTTTTTCCCCCGCCCCACTGAGTGCCTACCCTCTTTCGCCTTCAGTGGGGACGTGCTCGTGGAGGCTCAGGACCAATGCTCAGCCGCAGAGATAGGATTACATGGGGCTTATATACGCATTCTATTCTATAGGGGTTATCTAGGCATTCTGCAGGTAAGATATAGGGATTACATGGGAGCCATGCAGAGATTCTGTAAGGGCAAAAACCTCAAGCACAACACCATGCTACTAGCCCTCAACCCTAGATCCTACATTTCAACAAAAAGTCCTAAATCCTCACCCCTAAAAACTTAGGCCAGCGGCACAGTTGTATGTGTTGATCGACCAGCGGACGGTGGATTTGTGACAGTTGGGACCTGAGAAGACGAGCGCAACATCCCCAAATGTACGTAGAATAGTCTAAACTCCTTAAACGGGTTATATAGGGATTACAAGGGGAATATTATTGGGTTTACTAAGGGGGATGCTAGGAGTTTAGACTAGCGCAACTGAGCTACTGTCAACATTAGCGTTACCGTTATGTTATAGAACCATTCGGATAGGGATGATGGAAGCTCTTGTAGTATTAGAGTTATACAAGCTACATATCATATATAGAAGCTACATGTACTGGGGCTACCGAGGGACGATTAAGGGTTTAGGGATTAGGCCATAGGCTTTGGGGTTGTCACGGGGCATGGAAGCTACTAGAATGGAGAATCAAATGGAAAAGAAGATGGCAAATTACATGGAACTTGGAATATTCATTGATTTTTAATTTATAAGGATTGTGTTGTGAAATGAGGTCCATTTCGTTGATGGTCACCTTCTCATAACCCCACTCCTCGCCCCAGGTAATGAAGGAATGGATATCTCCCTTTCATGAAATGTTGGCACTATGTTGGAATATTTGTTGTTCTGGAGAAGGGAACATGGTTCAGAGATAAGGGTTGAGAGCAGGAGCCTATACGAGGCCCACGGCTTTGCTCGTAAACTTAAAGTGCGGCTGTCTGCAGTGGGTCGCGCATTTCCGGCAGCAGCAACTTGAGCCAACTCCAAAAATGCAGGAGCCTCCAACCCTAAAAACCTAAGAGTATACCCTAAACCCTTCACCTAAATCCTAACAACCCTATAAAATCGGCATTTGGTAGGTGAAGCCAGGATATTCATGTACCTTCAACCCTTAGACATTCCAGACTCAACAAGCTTGGCCACCCTACACTGGAAGATTAAAGGGTAATTTTCCGAAACTTTGAGTGTGCCTTTTTGGGGGCCCCCCATAATGAGAGTTATGGTTTTTGGGTGGTCTATATTAGGTACCCCATTTTAGGGAAACTATCAAAAGGGCAATGCTTCTTCTTTGTAGTAGTCGTGGCTTGGATTGTTTCTGTTTACTGTTTGAGGTATGGACCCCTTAAAGCAGCCTCTATGACATCCAAAATTATGTGGTACACTCTCCAATCCTTTCTAATAAAACCTTAAGCCCGTGCCTAAGCGCCTAGCGCTGCCATGCTACGCTTGGCCTATGGTTTCATCTTCTTGGTTGCCAGCGTTGTGGCAGCGCGGCGGCCGGTGATCATCAGTAGCGATCCAGGCACAAGGGCCTGGAGTTGGTTTGAGGGCTTCAAGGATTGCTTTTTGGGGCTCAGGGTTCAGGGCTTAGGGAGTAGAAATCAGGGTTTAGGATTAGGGTGCAGGGTTACCAAGGCACATGAAAAGTACCTACTAACCCCCGTGTACTACAACCTTCACCGTTCCCCCCTTTAGTAATGTCATTTCGGGATAGTTAGGATCAATTAAGGGGCATCCTTGGGGGCTTAGTAGGGGGAATCACGAATCGAGGGAAGCTTGCACCACTTGGCACCCTAACAATACTGTGTTTCCTGAGCTATAGGCATAGGGTACATCAAGTTGTGCAAGAATATCTCCATCCACGGTTTCCTCAAATGGGGGGCTGAATATAGACCCAATGTATTGGAAGCGTCTTTGCAATTCAGAGTTGGGGGGCCTTGGAACCCTAAGCCCTAATCCCTCATCCAATACGTACTGGTTTTATCGCAAGTTTCAGATCTAGTTGTCTGGCCCGACTTCAGCTGTTGGTTTATCTGGCAGATTGCCCCAAAAGTGCCCTGATTCCCCAAAACAGTCTGGCCTGACTGCAGGTTTGAGGAGTAGCTCTGGACCCCCTATGAGCTATAGTCTCAACTCCAAGTATCCCCCTTAATAACCCCTATAATACTCCGCTATATAATCCCCTATATAACCCCCCGTACGGAGTTTAAACTATGGCTCATGTATCCCCAGATACACCTGTGTACACCCATGTTACCCCTTTCGAGGGAGCGCTCCCTGTTTCTTGTGCGAGGGATTGACGACTCCATCGCGCTGCTCTTGGCGTTGTCCTCGCCGGAGTTGGATGTCCGGGCAGTATGTGGCCCGACGTGTTAAGGTCCAGGGTTTCGGGTCTAGAGTTGAGCGCAGTAAAGGGCTCAAAGGAGATATTGAGGGTATATAGGGATTGAAAGGGAGAAATAGGCAATATTCGGATTTAGAGTTTAGGGCTTGGGGCCACGTTGAGCGTGGTGTGAAAAAGGCTTCTTTTTGTCATCACAAGACGAGTTGAGACTAGACGGGACATGAACATGGCATGGCAACTGTGATTATGTAGGGTAAGACGAAAGCGCAGGAAAAGCAATGCAGAAGCTTGAATAATGAGGATAAGCAGTCCGGTGTAATCCTTGTTTTTAGCAAAATATGATATAACCGATTGCGAAACCTTACTGTAATGAGTTGTGCCTGTGGAATTTTGTACAGGCTCTCAGACGTGGCTTGCAGGCCCGCTTTGGGCCGCAATCTGCACATTACAAACTCCAAACTGTACAGTTTAGGGTTTCGGTTTTACGCCGCATGCTTGCTTAGGCAAGTAATCCCGTCGCATTGACGTCAAGCCCCTCCCGCAAAAGCCTTTGAACAACATTCTAAGATGTAACGGCATTGGAGCGGGAGAATCAATGGTCTCAACACTGGGGAGGTAGTTGTTTTGTATAGAAAATGGTCGACACATGTCCCTTGTCTAAGAACTTACTTATGTTCAGTTTCTCTCTGTATAGTAAAATTCTGAGGGGATCCCCGCGAATACCCTAAACCTACCTGTCTTTTTGGTTTTTCCGGAAGCCTAAGTTAGCCAGTGGTTGTCATGATCCTTAACCCATACGGCTTGGGGTTTTGGGTTTTGGGTTTTGGCTCGTGGAGCCCCAAAACATGAAGCTGCAGGCGGATAGTTCCCCGGCATAAGTCACATGGCCCGTACATACCTCCCTGTCTGCCCACATAAGACTTGTGCGGGCCTTGTGTATGGCTAAGGCTATTCACCTGGTAGCTCCCCGATTTGAAGTATTCCTCAATCAACTCTGGTAGTACACATGTGTTTGTTATGCTTACTGCTGTCCATGCTCTCCTTATACTCACCTTTATTTTGGTGTGATCAGATTCCCCTGAGTGCAAGGTATTAATTTTGGCTCCCTTCACAACACCTCGCAGCTGGTGGCTGGGAACACAACATGCTTAGATCTTGGGGTTCAGGCATGTGTGGGGGTTTAGGGGTTCAGTGTTCGGGGGTAGGATTCAGGTTTTATCGGCGTTGAGGTGTTGGGTTTTGGGTTCGCGTTTTCGGGTTCGTGGTGGACCTGCTGCATGAAATAGATCTATAATCCCCTATAACCCCTGAAGCCGTCATACATCTCCTACATCCGTTTTATGGGCTGAGCTTTCAAGCCTCAAGCAACTCTTGTGTTTCTCCAAATCTGGGGGGGCTTCCCAAATTAGAGCTCTATATTTGAGGGTCAAAAGTGTTTAGGGAGTCTAGATTGGGGCCTGTTAATCTGAGGAAACTCCCATGTAGGTATCGATTAAACAAAGAGGCTTCTTTCCTACGATCTGTTGCTTCATGCTCCCCAACACTAGCCCCCAATCCCTAGAACAAACAGTATGATACGTTCCATGCTTTCCCTCATATCACTCCCCCCTGCCCCCCTCCCCCCCTTGCACACATCAAACTCCAACCCTCCAACGTTCCTTCACAACCCCCATGTAGTCACAATTCCCATTTCATATTCATCAGATTCTGCATCGTTGTGAAGTATTTAGGCAGGCCACTTCACCCTTTACATTATCCCTGATAACCTTATATAGCCTGTATATAGTCCATACACAACCCCTTCACAACCCCTTGTAGCCCTTATACAATCCCTACATAACCTTATCTAAGCCCAATAAACGTTTTTTTTCGAAGGGCCAGCAACCCCCCCTCCGTCCAAGCTTCTTGTATAAAACCTCAACTGCATTATACACATCCCTTTAGAATTTAGAACGGGATCCCTTATACAACCCTGCAGAAGCCCTATAACCCCTTTACAGGGGACATCAAAAACCCTAAGCTTCTTTGAGGGCCCTCGACCCCAAGGCACAGAATGCGTTGGATGTCCTTGCACTGGCCGGCCGAGACTCGGTTCTTCATTCTTATGGTGTTTGGTACTAGATTACTATCAGAATCTTATTAGTATTAGTTTAGAGTGGCTGCGGACGTCTGGGTGAATTCGAGGTTTAGGGCCTTGGATTTAGGGGTCTATTCCGCTTTCAGTCGTTGTAGGCAGAGAAACGAGCTTTCGGGGTAAGCCCTAAATCATGTACAGCTTAAACCCTCAACCCGAAACCCTACATATCCTTATGCACTCACATATGGTAGCTTCGCTGAATGAGAAGGAACCCGATGTAGACGGTACCTAAGCCCTAAACCCAGAAGCCCCCTTTATATCCCTCGAAAGCAAACGGACCCCAAGCTCAGGAGAGGATATACCTGTCTTCCTAGGAGCAGCGCTGCTCGGACTACCGCCTTGAGAGGGGTAGGTTTGAACATGTGGGGTCCTTTTTTGGGTCCCCTAAATTAGGCCCCGTATTATAATAGGGACCCAAAAAGGGACCATGATTTTGACAATCCCCCATGTGTTGTTTTAATTGGTGTTCTCCTTCTTCCCTTATGTGTTCTGTAAAGCGATGATTTTTGGGGGGGCCAAACCTACCCCAGTTCAGAGAGTTCGCTGTAGCGGTTTCTCGAAATAGGGGTACCCTTAAAAACCCTAGGGATAGATGCGGGTTTCAAAGGCTTCACAGGGGTCTTTGCTAAGGGTTCTCTTGGGTACATTGTACATGAAGAGAAACTCCCAGAGGACTGTTTTTTAGCATTCAAAGAGTTGTTATAGTCGGGGAGCAGAGGGAAACACGGTTTAGGGTTGAGGATTGTAGTCTATACGGATTTATGCGTACAGTTGCGAACCAAATGGAATAAATGGAGGATGAACGAAACATGGAGTAGTATGAGTTAGAAGCCTGAATAACTACCAACAGGTTCCTTCATAATCTCTATGTACTTATAATAGAACATGCCTCCCGATGCTAGTTTAATAGGTGAGCGCTTTCATTCATCCAGAGAGTCAGGAGCCTCAGCAGCTTGAACACTTCCTTGTAGGGTCTATTTATTCAGGGTTTGGGGTTGAGGGTTTAGGAGCCCTCAAATCATAAAACCCAGATGCAGCTGAAGAATCTTGAGCCCACGGGCGAAGCCTCTGCAATTCGAACATCCCTGAGCCCTAAACTCTTAAACCCTATATAAGCCCTCCGCCCTAAGCTCCCTCAAGCCCAAGCCCTAGACCCTAGGCCCTAAGCCCTTCCCCCTAAGACCTAAACCCTATCCTAATGAGGAACAACATATCCTTCACTCGCCCTTCTACGCCCAGGGATCCACTTTCGCAGCCTTTCCACGACTTGGGGGGCCCAAAATTCCACGGCGTGGACGGCCTCGGAGGTTAGGTCTGATCATGCTTAGGATGTAGGGTTTGATGAGCTTGGGGGTTTTTGGGGTTTGGGGTTCAGGGGTTAGGGTTCAGGGTTAGATGGGGCTTGGGTTTGATGAGTTTAGTGTTTTTTTTTGGCTTAGGGTTTAGGGTTCATGGTTTCAGTAGGAGCTATCAGATCAGAAGGCTCCCCTTTAATTAAGATCCTACTAAGCGTAATGCGCCTTCAAGGTCTACCAGCCGCCCATTTTGGTGTGGGAAGTCTCCGAAACAAGGGTGGTGGGTGTAGGGTTTAAGGTCTCAGGTTTTGGGTGGGAATTTCTATAGTGAGGGGAGTGGTTGTTCGGGCCCCAAGAAAGCTAAATTGCAACCTTTTTGGTTGGCTGTTGCTTTTGGATTTGAAGATTTTTCTGCTTCTGCAGGGTGTAGGTACCTGGTTGGTTGTCAAACTTTGTCGCCCATGATTGGGCCCCTCGTATAGTGCGGCAGCTGAGATTACTGGTGAGTACCCGCAAGGGCTGCAGTCTTGATTGTACAGCGTCATATGTAATATGATTGGGGAATCTATGACCCAGCCTTCATTATTCTACTGGCTTGCTATTCAGAAACTTAGACTATGTTATCATTCTCGAGAAGCCGTATTATTGACTTTATTCCCGCATTCTTCTAGCTTAACACTCATTACCCCCTCTAGAGAGAACCCATAACTTATGGATTTTTCATTCCAGTTCCCAAGCCCCAAACTGGGCCAAGCTTCTGAAGGGCAACCCAGTCTGCTCCAGGTGCTCCGTTGCCTCCTACACCCTCAACGCTAAACCCTAAAACCCCTCAACCCTCAAACCCTTTTACCATAAACCTTGAATCCCTCGACCCTAAACCTCTAAAAGCCTAAACCCTGAAACCCTGAATCCCCGAACCCTAAAGCCCTAAAACCCTGAAACCCTAAACCCTGAATCCTAAAACCCTTCAAACCGTCTAGTGCAGGCGTCCGGCTGCCCCGGTCCCGGGCCAGCACGAACTCCTCGCTCACTGCGTCGGAGTTCATCGTCCACGCCTGCCTTCTCGCTGAGATGGATGGGATACAGGGGGTTCTTATAGGGATATTGGAGTGTGTAATCAGGGGTACCTTAAAGGGGTTTCTAGGGGTTCTATGGAGATATTGGGGTCTATAATTAGGGAATCCTTAAAGGGGTTTATAGGGGTTCTATGCGGAGATATAGGGTTTAGGGTTTACGGCTTAGGGTTTCGCAATAACATGGGATTAGATTTTTGTTGCCAGAAATTTGGGTGTCCTTGTTTTCCGGAGTCTCCAGCATAAGGATCAGAATATGTTGCGATCCATCTCGGGACCTATGCTGAAAACTACCAGATTATCAGGAAACCTCCTGCCCCAAAAGCATGCAGGGCTTAGGTGCACTGAGCCCGTCAAGGGTAGGCAGCTTGAGCACGTCTGGATGACAGGGTATCGTTGGGGGGAGGTTGATCCCATTGGCGCGGATTGATTGACTCCTATTGCTTATCAGTGTCTTGGGTTCTTGATGTTTCTGACTGGTTGCAAGGCACAGTCCTGTCCAACTTGGACGGTCTGGGCGAAGATCCGGAGGGTGTAGCGGAAAAGAAAGAATTGGGACGCCCCAATTCGAAAGGGCCGAATTTGTGGGAAGTCGGATATATACATATATATTTTTTATATATGCAAAAAGGACCTTTTCCTCCTTGGGGATGCGGGTTTATAGGGTTCAGGGGTTCCGCTCCTTTGACGCGCAAGGTCGAACTTGGCGGCCGGCACCACTTCTGATATCCTTGGCGCCTCTGAGACTGGGCAAGTCTTATTTAAGTAGCACTGTGACCTTCATCGAAAAAGGTATGCCACCCGCACTGGGGGAGGGGGAGGGGGCCTGGTCGTCGAATGGATTAGTGAACTTCAGGACTGGGGGCACACCGGCAGACAACAGTTTTTTTTTCCAGAGGGTCCAAGTGCCCAAAAATCTAGGTATGCTTGGATTTTGGGTCACAGTAAGTATTATAATGCAGGTTTTGGGCAAGTATATGAGTATGAGATCCTTGGACCCGTAGAGCTGTCGGCTTAGGGTGAGTTATGAGTGTACATATGAGTTGAAAGGTCCCTTGTAGGGGTACTACACACACCGTCACATGCCACCAATTCTGATAAGGCGTACCGTATAATATTAAAGCTCCCCAAAACAACAACTTTGGAAGCCCTCCTTTACACATTTCCTTTCTCATGCTTAATCCAGTATAGATACTGCAGCCTCCTGATAGAGTGTGCGATGTTGCAACAGAGCTTACTTAGACCGCTATTGTTATTATTATTACTATTATTATTACTATTGTTAATACGGATAGCAGTGATTGAAGCAACGTGAGTGTATAATGGACGGCTGTTACGGAATATCATATTCAAAGCGCCTCTTTCCGAGAGTCTATGCACTGGCTGACCCAGCCAGCCTGCACGTTGGAGAAGCATGTTCTGGTATAGGGCACCTCAAACAGACTTCCACATAGTATTTATAAGTGCTTCGCGGCTACGTTACATGGGCCCTATAAGCCCCTTTGCAAGTGTCAGATTTGCTGGGTTTGTGTAGCAAGGACGAATGTGGCGTTGGCATTGAGCCTCTGCTGGCAATTAACTTGAATGCCCAAGGTCTGAACCTTCAAAACCCAGTTAGGGGCTGAGGGTTCAGGGCTTAGGGTTCAGGTTTCAGGGTTTAGGGTTTTGTTTAGGGTCTGGATTCAGGGCTTAGGGCTTCGGGAATGAAGGAATGAATCCCTGTCGCCGTCTTGATGTATTGATTCCCATACTTCATTCCCGCGTATGTCAGGCTTGTCCCTAGATTAGAAGGTTGAATGATTACCAGCACTATCGTCCTAGATTCCTTATGGAATTCTGGCATAGGCTACCTCAACAGACAATCGCCTCAACACGATGATGGTAATTGTTTAGGTCCTTATATGCCATAGAACTGCACAAGAAGTCAGCCTTGGAAGGCGGTAAGCATAAGTCCTCAGGAGTGACACGGCGTTTGGCACTTCAATTCTTGGAATCTTATTCTGACTCGTCGGGGTTCAGGGCTTACCCTAGGGATTGTATGTAGTTCCTTCTTGAGTTGCATACTTCAACCAATAACAAAACCCAGGCATATTGTTGACAGACGAAAACATGACGTTAACCTCGCGACGCTACACAAGCCCCTAATTACAAGGTTTAGATACATAGGGTCATGCAAGATTTTCTCCATAAAGTCTAGGAACCTCTGAGTAGGACAATTTTCGTTTGACAGTGAGGCTTGGAAAACGGTTTAGGGTTTACAGCAAGTTTGGAGCACTGGTACTTGCTTCTTTGCAAGTTCGAGCAGCTTCAGGACGATACTTCCAAGGCAGGACAAATAGCTGCTGCCTGTAGCCATTGAACTTACTGGTGGTTGGTAGGGAAGGAGGGAATATGATCCCTTTTTAACCCCTGTATACTATGTTCCCTAATTCCCTAGTAATGAACCACAAGTAAGTGAAGGAATCAATCCCCGTACCTCGATATTCCCCCAAAAATACTTCCGACATAATTTGCCCGCGCAGTCCTTAACCTTACGGTGACATTTTTAAGCAAGTGGAGGGCGGCCAACCCCAACGTGCCACGGAGGTAGTATAAAAGATCTATTTAAATCCGGATGTTTTCGTGTTTAGATTCAATTCCGGATGTTTTTGATCGTGGGCGGCCGGACACTATGCTTTGCGGAGGTAGTATAATGTACCTGTTTGGTTATAAGTTGTTTACGTGTCCGGATGTTTAAAAAGCATCGCCGTAAGCACCATGGAGTAAGAATTCGGGCCCAAGGAGCAGGGCTGATCAGTTTAGGGTTTGAGGGATATTGGTCTTAGAGGTTTAGGGTTGAGGGGTGTGGGAATACCTTTACTGAGCCTAGAGGCATGATCTGGGAACCCTAGACTTGGGATACTGCCCACACCCAGTAACAGTTGGATAATGAGTACTCCAAACCTTAAACTCTAAACTCCAAGCCCTAAGCCCTAAACGCTGCTTTGGGGATGGCGAGTTTTGAGCCAATGGCTCCTGCGCAGTCCATATTGGGTGGTCAACTGTGCTTATAACATATTATGGATATAGCTTGCTGTACCACAGCATTTTTTTTACAGTCCGGGCTTGACAAGAAAGCTGGTGCCTGAGGCATGGGCCAGGGGACGAGACAGGCCCATGCTGCCAGAAGACTGGTACGTTCCCATCGGCTCACTGGAGGCCAAGTGCACTGGGGCGCTTGGTCCAGTGATAACGCTCCGATGTTTGAAGTTCGCGAAGGCATCAAGCAGACGCCAAAAATTGAGCAGTTCAGCGACTACCTCTCGTATGAACTTGAGCGTCGAAGCACTTCGGCTGACCCATCTCCCAAGCCTTCAGCCCGGCAAATTACTCTTGCATCAGCAGAGTAAGGTCGTCGAGCTTGCTTCAATCTCTTGACACTTTGGAGCTAAAGTGTTCCGCATGCGGAGGGCTTTTCAGACAGTTTCAAAACCTTGTCGGTAGATGCGCAGCAATTTAAACTGCATTTCCATTAGCTTACGCAGCGAACGGAGCTTAGACGATGGCTCCTACGATCAACTGATATATCTAGATATTTACTCCTCAGTAAAAACTTCATATTATAGCCCTTACATAATTCCTTGTCTGCCCATATAGCCCATGCCATATAGGGGCCTCCAGTAACTCCCCACCAGACAACTCACTTACTGCCTACATTCCCTAAACCCTTTAGAAACCTAGAACCCCCAAACACTTGCTTAATCGAGCGCAGGACGCTTTGAACCTGACTAATGCATGGTTGAAAGGTTTTGGGGTTAAGACTTTCGGGCTTAGGGTTCAGTCGCTCCGGGTAACCCAAATCCTACATACCCCAAACCCTGCACCCTAAACCTTATACCCCACTAAGAGCGGCAACAGGAACTTCGAGCCGAAGTTGCCAGAGATGTGCCCAGCAACTTGGGTATCAAATTCGTTTTTTTTTGGGGGTGGGTAGGGGGGGGGTGGTCTATTAGGGTATATTAGGGTTTAGCTACAGAGGGCTTGTGCCAAGTTCGAGGTTTTGGTGCAAGTCTATCAGAGTTCCGGGCTTGGGGTTCAAGGGTTTCGTGTTGAGGGGGGTTAGACGGTTAGAGTTTAAGGTCTCAAGGTTTAGGAAGGGCTTAAGGTCTAAGGGCTTGGGGTTTGGGGTTTATATGGTCAAAGGGTGAAGCGTTTGGGGTCTGAGCGTTGTGGGTCCAAGGGTTAGGGTTCAGGGTTTAAGGTGTAAGTTTAAGGGTTTAGGGCTTAGGGTCTGAGGATTTAGGGTCGAAGGGTTTAGGGTCTAAGGTATGAGTGTACATTGGGTCATTTCCCGTCACAGTACCTGTCCACCCTAAACCCTAAACCCTACCTGTCCCTGAATGGGCCTCATTAGGTGGCGATTGTAACTCCTATTACCGGTCGCGGCAACTGCTACGGTAAGGGAGGTTGAACTACAGGACAAGAGTTTAGGGTTTTGGTGGCCGTAAGCCAAGCACGTTGTATTTAGGCTTGGGGTTTAGGGTCTACGTCTAAGGAGTTCAGGGCTTACGAATGAATTTGAATGACATGGGTTCAAGGATAAGTGTTTTGGTTTTCAGGTCATTGGGGGTGAAGGAGGGGTTGGAATTGGGTTTCAGGATTTATGAGGATGTGCTTCTAGGACTTCAGGAAGAGGGAACAATCGATGGCTTTAGAGTTTAAGGGTGATGCCTGGGAGCTGGGGCTCAAGGATTCCTCAAAGATCGCGTCTTACGCACTTAGCCACTAACCGCTAAACCCTGGGGTTTGGGACCTGGCATTTACTGTAAGGGGCTTAGGATACTCCGTACTTTGAGAGCCCCGCCCCAACAGTCGAAGCGCAGGACGCCACTACATTTCATGGTTATTCAGGCGCATGGAGGGTTAGATACGGTTAGGGCTTCATGTATGAGATGGACCAACAAATGCCAACAAACTTCCTGCTTAACCCTTATAACATTTTGGTATACTCTAGTACAACGTGCACCCAAGCCCAGTTTCAACCGTTCAGACCACTACATAAAGTCCTAAAAAACCAAACAAAACATGATAGCAACAGGTCCCAATTCATCTTCCTGGGGATTGGTCTAAATTCCCTATAATACGGGGTCCTATATTTGGGTTCCCATTATAATACGGGGCCCTATATACATTTCCCCCATTTTGGGAACAGGAATTTAGGGAAACTTCCTCCTGTTTCTCTTCCAGTTGGTTTTCCATACGTGCTCCCAGTATGTCATTTTCATGTGCTTGTCCGTTTTATTTGCCTTGCTTCGGCCGCTCCATTGTGCCCGCCCGAGGACTTGTTCATGATGGGCGGGACTGTGACGGCGCCCGGGAACGTTGGGCCCCTCTCCGAGGACGCGGCTTCCGGTGCTCAGTTACTCAAGACAGGGTATGCGTCTATAGCATCCCGGAAACATCTAGAGTTTTTTCGGGGAATTGTTGTGGTTCTCAATTGTTGTTCTACACTGTACACGTTGACAGACGTTCAGACGCGTTTCTTACCGTGCTATAAGAGAAGAGGTTCTTCACGAGAGCAAGGAGACATTCTCCAACCCGTGTGCAAACGTGCAGTGTTGTTCCAGCTGGCAGAGAACATCGCCACCAATCAGTGTGTAATCCCAAATAGGGGCCTCTCAGATCCTCTTACAGTCCCCACAAATCCATGGGGCCCCTAAGGGCCGCCCATACAATGTACAATCCCCATGCACCGTTTCTATTCATTTTCCATGTGATTTCCAGTAATGGGACAATGATAAGCCCCAAATCGCCTGAAATAGTCTCCACATGACCCAATATAATCCTAGACCCTAAACGCGAAACGCATATAAACCCAAAACCCCAAACCCTAAACCCTGAACCCTAAACCCTAAACCCTAAGCCCTAAACCGCTCCGGGCCCTTCAGCATAGCACCAATGCCTCCAAAGTCAGACCTTCAAGCTTTAACCCTGCATAAACAGCTTGCTAGGGTTTAGGGTTTAGGGTTTAGGGCTGCAAAAGCTGCAGGGTTTAGGCGCTTAGGGATTGGGTTTAAGGGCTTCAAACTAACTATCAAATTGCAAGCAGGCAAACATTGCCAATGATCCGGAGGCTCTGACATGCAAACGGGTTTTCGGTCTTGGGGTTTAGGGTTTTAGGTTTTCTCAAAGTGTTTGCTGGCTTTTGGGCTTTGGAGGGCTTTCTGGCTTTAAAATTCGGCCCAGGGGACATTTTGAACTAGGGCTTTGCAGACGAGAGGACGTTGGTTTTTGCAGGTTCCTTCTTTGGGGACATGTCAGCTTCTGTGTCTCCCTGTGTATCCCCTACTTGGCTTGGAGTTACAGAGAATCTGAAACTAGTACATTTCCATACATGTCCCAAGTAGGGGGACCCTCAATCTAGACCCCAAAATATTATAATCCTCAATGGGGACCCCAACAGGGTACCCCGAATTTTGGTAAAGCTCCATCTATGCAGGCGGCAGCGCGCGTGCTTGCTGCGGGCTTTGACACGAAGGCAAGGACAATGCATCTTGATCCGGATGAAGTTTCAGGTTGAGCGGTTTTTGGATGTACGGTGTGGGGGCATTTTGTAGTTCTGTACCGCTACTCCTACAGAACCTTTGCTGACTAGCGTTACTGTCATTAACTATCCCAGTTGTTGCTGTCAACATCACCGTCAGTTAGTTTCTTAGAAGGATGAGTTAATCTTTCCTACACGCGACTGGGTATTTCCAGAAATATGGGTCCTCCGAGGGGTCTTCTTTATAAAGTTCAAAATGCCTCCAAGGGACCAGATACGTCAGATACGAATATAGTCATAGTATATATTTAGGGCCTAGTTGGGGGTTGCCGAATAGGTATTGAATAGGTACTTTGGTTCATTGCTCGGTTTAGAGATCAGGCCTTATAGGTCTAGGCAAGTGGACCTTCCTGGGTGATAAAATAGGATGTTTTCAGCATCCCGTCAACTTTGGGTGCACAAAACTTAAACGCTAAACCCTTAACCCTAAATCCTAATCTCGAAGCCCTAAACACATAACTCTAAACCCCAGGTCGGAGACCCAGCTACTCTTGTATAATCCCACGGCGGACTTTGGAAAAATCTTGCGCCACTTGGATTCTTCAAAGTATTGCAGCTACCGTTATCGGGGGCTATATAGGGGTGGTGTAAGATTTCCTCCATCCACAGCATAAGCCGTTTAAGCAGGAACTCTGGTTTTTTGAAGCCCTAAACATTAAACCCTAAACTTCGAAACACCGACGGTAAGATAGATTGAGCCGCTAGCAGATGAAATGGCACGAGCGAAGCTCCAATTAACGCACACGCACACACATCGAACTCATTCAGGTAGTTCTGACACATGTAAACAAGAAGAAATACAATGCAATGCATGGAATACACGAAAGAAACAAGACAATACAACCCCACTTGATCGGATAAGTGACATCTGGACAGGGCAGGACCTTGGCTGCAAACCCCAAACCCTACATATTAAACCCTAAACCCCCAAACACCCAAACACCCAAACCCCAAACCGTATAGTCCCCCTTGAGATAGAATATGGCTTTGGGCATAGTATAATAAGATCCCCATATACCCCATATTCTATCTACTTAAGGGGGACTATAACCCTAAACCCTAAATAGTAGTTTTCATTTTCTTCGCCATTATCTCAATATAACCCCAATATAACACTAATATTACCCCAGATAACCCTATATCATATAGTAGTTTCCATTTTATTTTCCATGATCCCAATATAAGCACAGGACTGTAAACCTAAAGGGGGTCTCGCTATCGACTTGCCTGTTGCGTCAGGTGGCTGCGCTAGATGTTACCATGGCATCCTGGCACCTGGGGCTGAAAGCCTCCATGCTCTGTAGGGTTTGGGGTTTGAAGAGGGCTAAGGGTTTAGTAAGGGTTCAGGATTTAGGGCTTGAGGTTTGGAGTTATTGGGCTCAGGATTTAGGGAGGGCTTAGGCTAAGGGTTTCGGATGCAGGGTTTAGGGTTTAGGATTTAGGGTTCAGTCAGGATTCAGGGTTCAGAGTTTACAAAAAATGCGCGTTTCTCAACATATTTCGGATGCAATTCCTAATGCAGCCCAAGCTTCATTTTAGCCCTAGATATTTCTTGGGTCCCTTAAGGCCCCTCAATTTTGAGAAATTACCAAGTTCTGGTGACCTTAGTATTCTAGAATACCATGGAACCCGGAACCCCACACCCTAAACATCACAGATTGCTTGATACCCGTACTGCTGAACTTCCTCGTGGTTAGCAACGGATGGTGGAATGGATCCCAAAATTAATCCCTATGTGTTTTCCTTGAATCGCCGCTATAACCCATGCCCCATTTCTCATTCACCACCAGCACACACCCGAAACGATGATATCGCAGCTTCCATGTGCCTTTCCGCCGTCAGCCCTCAACCCTGAATCTACATCCCTGAACCCTTTCCCGAAACCCTAGACTAAAATCCCAAGACCCTATATCTTTTCCCTAAACCTTTGACCGAAATCCAAAAGCCATCAGCTCAAAATAGTCTTTTCCTATCTGCTCCTAAGCTTGGCATTGCTCAGTTCTGCTTGGCTGAGGCTAACGCCCGAGTTCCTAGCCTCTCTCCGTGTTGTTCCCAACTTTGCAGGTCCCAAGCTGAGATCTTAGGACTCTAGGTTCAGGGCTTAGTGTCTAGGATCTAGGGACCCAATGAATGACCAATGCAATGGTCCTGAATTCCTTGTCAAAGTATGGTGCAGGGTTTCGTGCATGAAGGTTTAGGGATCTAAGGTCTAGGATTCAGGGTTTGGGATGGATTAGGCTTGGGCTATCCGGATGGGCGTTTAGGGTTTAGTACCTACTTGTAACTGGGCGGCTGACTTGACTTATGATTGGGGTAACCTGCATAAGTCAAGTTAGGGGGATTCTGGGCAGGTTTAAAGCCTACCGTAGTTAGAGGCATTTACTAAGTTCCATGAACCCTCAAGTAGGGAACTTATAGGGAGTGTCTGGTCCCTGAGTGGAAGTTTTTCCTTAAGGATAGGGGTACCCTTCAGTACCCCCGGGGTGTTCGGTGGCTCTACGAGGATTATGAGAGCCCCGATACAGGATTACGCAGCGAAGTGCCCAAAGTAGTACGAGGAGAGGTATTTGTATGGCTCTCGATAATTGGTTTGCAATTGAATTGCAGATCTCTGTAACGGGTACCGACAGTGTGTTGGATTTGCTGCCCCGGCGACACGGCAAGTGAAGTGAGAGCCTAGCTATCATAAATCCTACCATCCCCCCACCCATTACTTGTGATATCTGGTTAGTATAGCAGGAAACGTGTTGAGGCCCTACAAGTCTAATTAAAATGCCAAAGGACGCATCCTTTATAACCCCGAAATCAAACCACCCCCCGTCCTCCCCATGAATTCAGGCCCCTTCATCTGGAACATCACGCGCTTCTATGAGCGGGCCTACGAGACCGTCGGAGGATACGAGGGCGGCATGCCCCTGTAGCTTGGACGACTGTGGACTTAAAGCTGTCTCGTTCTGGTTACTACCTGAACCCCAAAAGTATGTAGAATAATAGCCGTTTTGGCTATGTTTAGGGGCGTTGGGCTATTATTTTACCTACTTTTTGGATCCAGGTATGCTAGAAGCTCAAGAAGGAAACACAATTGTTATGCTAAGCAGTACCCTATAAGGTACGAGATTCAGGGTTCATAGCTAAGACAATGAAGAACCTGAAGCCTAGCACAAGCAACTGTAGCCGTCACAATCACGATCATGTGCGCAAATGCGCAACAACGGATGAAGTGTAGAGGGGCAGGCATTGCTACCTCCGTGCACATATGCCATGATCTCAAAACGGGCCTTCAATCTTGTGAGAGCGCCCGAAACTTGGCAGTTTCTCATAACAGGACGGTAAGTTGTGCAATGACGCACCCACATTAAATCCTTAATGGGCTTCATCAGCTTCACACGTCAGCTATTTCGGTTTTTGGGTTTAAGGGTTTAGGGGTGCAGAGTGCAGAGTGTTTGGGTTAGGGTTTAGGGAAGGAACTGCGTATTCGGCAACTGCGCAACAGCACTCTGGCATGTTGGAGGTTTGAGATGGTTTGAGCACATCGGCCTCTGCCAGTTGTTAGAAAATGTTTGAATACTTCTGTTATGCTAAAAGCTAGTAAGGAAATTACGATTATTGTCCTCGTTCCTAGTAATGTCGCGAAAAAGAATCAGCAAAGTCCTAGACACCATCTCAGTGCTCATGTTCTTTTCCTCTTGATTCTTTATTTAATCTGCAGAATCGCTCCTTCTGCCCCTAGCATTAAGCATGCTCCCCTGGAACCAATTCCCTGATGAGAAGGTATTTTACACTAGGGGTGGGGGGGGGCGTCTGAACCCTAAACTCAAACCCTAAACCCTAAAGGGGGGGGGGACGGGTGTTTATTCTTAGGGAGGCAGGATGACAAGTCAAGCTGTTGAGTCAGCAGAGCTTCCAGGTGTAGTATTTCAGCTTGGGGTTAAGGAACTTTAGAGCTAATGACCAGTAGGGGCAAGGTACCGTCATGGGGAAAGACTTCCGCTAACAAACATCTCATGGTGACTTTTGATAAGTTCCTTAATAGGAATCCAGTCAGTGCAATACTACCGTAGGTCTTCTCGACATGGCTTCTAATCTTTCTTAGGAAAGGCCAGACAAAACACCCGACACGTATAGTAGGAGCTGGCAGAAGGAACACAGTATCGACGTTGAAGTAGGGTAATAATAATGGAGAATCAAATGGAAAAGAAAATGGAAATGACATGGAAACCAGGGAAAATATCATACTATAGTAGTTTCCATTTTCTTTTTATACCAGCCTCTTTATGGCAGGGGCACTTCAAAGCTCTGTACTACAAAGCTCGCAAATTTTGAGGTCATTGGAGGAAGTTAAATCAAGTCACCATAATGTCGAGCTGTCTTGAATTATGTGGCTGCTCCATACTGGTAATTTAAGGTAGCTTCCCAAGCAGCAACCCAGTATTCATCTACAGAGACTGGGTTGGCCTCTGGGATATTTGAATACATGGCCTCACTGTTTTCATAAAGACCCTGGATACAAACACTTTCAAAGGGTTCCAGAGACCAACCAAGGAGAAGAATCCCGAGACTGATGTGGGACTTCGCGCGTCCTGTTAGATCCCTACTCAATAGGGGGCCCAGCCCTGAACCTAGCTTTTAAGACTTTAGGGCCTGGTGTCTACATTTGAAACCCTAAGCCTAAATCCTAAGGTTAAGGCTTTGAGGTCTAGGGTTTAAGGTTTAGGGTTGAGGGTGGGAGTGTTGGGCCTGGGGCTCCCTCAGGCCTGCAGTTAAAGTGCAGCCCTGAGCTTCCAACGGTGGATGGAGGACATCTTGCGCCACTCTATACACCCTTTAGGATTAGGGGATCAGAGTTTAGGGTTAAGGTCGGAAGAAGCCCCAAACCCAGAATCTAAACCCAAACTTCATCACTCAGAATCCTAAGCCATACCTGCGCCCAAAGGACCTTCAGCTTTAGGATCTTAGATAGCGGCTTATGAAAACTGAAGGTCTTTCGGGTCTAAGGTACTCCGTCACGCTTACCCGAGACGCTACACCATACTACACCTTAAGTTCCCAAACCATGAAACCTAAACCCTGCTAAATCCATATAATTGCGGGTTGTGAGGGGTCCCTGTTTAGAGGTTCCCATAATAAGGAGTGTAGGTTAGATGAGTCTATACTGTGGTCCCTGTAGTTGGGGCAAACTACCATCTCATCGTCTGCAAAACCCTAGGGTTTAGGGCTTAGGATCCTTATTTTCACTATTGGGATAATGGAAGAGAAAATGGAAAACCACCAATAATGCAGAATCAAATGGAAAATAACATGGACAATTAAATGGACTCTGGGATTCTACTTTCCAAGGCACGATCCGACGGCCGTTCTCCTGCATCTGAAGCCGGAGCTCTTGGGCAGCAGGTGTTGCTATCTTCTATGATTCAGGGAGTTGTCAAAATTATGGGTTTTTTGGGGGTGCCCTTAATATTTGGGGCCACACTTTGCGTGGGGTCCCAACAGGGCCCATAATTCTGACAAGCTTCTATATAAGCAAGACTTTGGGGGAGTTCGGCTTTAAACCACCCAAAATGCCTAAACCCAAAGTTTGCCCTCCGAATAGGTCTGGATTCATATTACAGTCCCGAACTGGGCCACTGCAAGGTGTGTGTGTGTGTGTTGCACCATACACTAACAGATTTTCCAAGTAAGCTAGCCATTTACACTCAGCGCACCAAACCCTAGACCTTAAAACATAAACCTTAAACCCAAGTCCTATAAACCTTAAACCGTAAATTCTAAGCCCTACATCCTAAACCTCTGTCTGCTTGTCAGAGGCTACTTGCAGTCTCGCACAGTGGGCCTTAGGGATTCCAGGGGCATATGAGCGACCGCTTTTATTATCGTGTAGGAGCCAAGAGCAGGCAGAGATAAAATTCAGGGATATGAGCAAAACTCTAGTAAAGCGATAGGGCCCCCCCCCAAAAGCGATACCCCCG